CAACAATGCGAGTGTCAAACATTGTGTCAAAAATTAGTGTACAAATAACAAAGTTTAATCGGTAAGAATCTCGCGACATGTACACTATGGTACACATACTTTAGTTTACACTTTGCCACGTGACATTACCTTGTTGGACAGTTTGAATTTCAAACAGTTCTCCCATCCAGTTGGCACTTGGCAACAATTCAAGTGTCAAGCAACATATTTAAAATTAGCGTACAAATAGCGAAGTTCAATCGGTGAGAACCTTGCTGTGTGTACACTATAGTGTACACACTTTAGTTTACACTTTGTCACGTGACATTATTCGGTTGGATGTTTAAATTTCAAAAAGTTTTCCCATCCAATTAACTCTTGACAACAATGAAAGTGTGAAACAACGTGTCAAAAATCGTTGCACAAATAGCGAAGTGTAATCAGTAAGAACCTTGTGACATGTACACTATGGTGTACACTTTAGTTTACACTTTGCCACGTGACATTACCCTGTTGGAAAGTTTAAATTTGAAACTATTTTCCCATCCAATTGACACTTGACAACAATGCAAGTGTCAAACAACGTGTCAAAAATCAGTGCACAAAAAGAAAACTTCAATTAGTAAGAACCTTGCTACATGTACACTATGGTGTACACTTTAGTTCACACTTTGCCACGTGACATTACCATGTTAGACAGTTTAAATTTCAAACAGTTTTCCCGTCCAATTGACAATTGTTAACAATGCATGTATCAAACAACTTGTCAAAAATCAGTGTACAAATAGCAAAGTTCAATCAGTAAGTACCTTGCTATATGTACACTGTGGTGTACACACTTTAGTTTACACTTTGCCACGTGGCATTACTCTGTTAGGCAGTTTCCATTTTAAACAATTTTCCCATCCAATTTACACTTGACAACAATTCAAGTGTCAAACAACGTTTCCAAAATTAGTGTACAAATAGCAAAGTTCAATCGGTGAGAACCTTGGTACATGTACATTATGGTGTACACTCTAGTTTGCACTTTGCCACGTGACATTACCCTGTTGGACAACTGAAATTTCAAACAGTTTTCCCATCCAATTGACACTTGACAACAATGCAAGTGTTAAACAACGTGTCAAAAATTAGTGTACAAATAGCAAAGTGTAATCTGTAAGAACCTCACGACATGTACACTATGGTGTACACTTTAATTTACACTTTGCCAACTGACATTACGCCGTTGGACAGCTTAATTTTGAAACATTTTTCCCATCCAATTTACACTTGACAACAATGCAAGTGTCAAACAACATGTCAAAAATCAGTGTACCAATAGCAAAGTTCAATCGGTAAGAACCTTGCTACAGGTACACTATGGTGTACACTTTAGTTTACACTTTCCCACGTGACATTACCCAGTTGAACAGTTTAAATTTCAAATAGTTTTCCCATCCAATTGACACTCGACAACAATGCATGTGTCAAACAACGTGTCAAAAATCAGTGTACAAATAGCAAAGTTCAATCAGTAAGGGCCTTGCTACTTGTAAACTATGGTGTACACATTAGTTTAGACTTTGCCATGTGACATTACCCTGTTGGACAGCTGATATTTCAAACAATTTTTCCATCCAATTGACACTTTACAATAATGCAAGTGTCAAACAATGTGTCAAAAATCAGTGAACAAATAGGAAAGTGTAGTCGGTAAGAACCTCACGACTCGTACACTATGGTGTACACTTTAGTTTACACCTTGCTACATGACATTATTATAGTACCCGAGAAAAATAAAATGAAATTATGCTAATATTTGGTGATGATCTAGCACCACGAGCCTAACCCATTTTAGAAACGACCTATGGAAGCTCAACCCATGTAAGATTACGAAGGCCCAAGTCATAAGTTAATTAAAAGCCCAGCAATTTAAGAGATTAAGTTTGAGAAAAATTGATTAAAAAGATTTAATGAATAACTGGGTTGCCCCAATGGTCATTTACATGGTATTTCATATAGGCAACCCAGGTTCGAATCACTAGTAGATGTTTTTTATAAAACTTTCATATGAATTATTTTTATGGCTTAGAGACTCTTCAAATTCTTAGTTAAAGACTAAATTTAATAAATGTAATGATAATACAACTCCCCCACTTAATTTTTCATTAAAAAGAAAGGTTATAAAAGTGGAAGGTCACTTTTTCACTGCACTCCTCTTCAAATCCGAATTTCATCTCATTTTCTCTCAAAAAAAAAAAAAATTCATATCAAGTTAAGCTTAAGGTATAACAAGGGTGAGAAGAAGGAAGGCTTTTTATATATTTTGTTCTTTTATCCAAGAAAATCTAAGGTAGGTAGAGGTGCAAGTATTCATTCATTTTCAAATATGATTTTTCGATAAATGTTTGAATGAAATGGTACCGTCGGGTACGGAGGTTCGGCACTACAACAGTTTGAATGATCATTCTTCGGCTCTACGTATTATGATAATGCTATAGTAATTGGATTTTGCCGAAAATCCATCTACTTGTGATGGTATGAATCTATAGTTCGAAATTTCTAATTTGCTAACGAATTGCACCGATGATATCTATTGAGTTTCAAACTCATGGGTTAATTCCCTTCCTACAGGTTGAATGGATTTTCTTTGGGGGCGTAGATGATGGTAAAGGATGATGCAACATGTCATAGAGAAGCCAGTGATTTACATCTTTAGTTGATTTTGAGATATTTACACTTTCTATAAATTTGATTCCTATGAATATTGTGTGGATCTATTTTACGAACACTCGTTATGAATAAATTATGTTTGAAAGTAGATATGCATCATAGGAATAAATTTACAAATCACCGTATACAAAAAA